CAACTGGTAATCTGCATTTCCCATTACCAACTACTTTTCGAAATTTTAATTAGAAACTGTTGAGTTTGTAATCAGTTTTTTCTGTTAATAGTTTGTTACAAGTAGTTTTTAGTTAGTTAGACAGTTAGATTGAAAGGTTATATATATGTGTAAACAGATTGTGAATATTGAATGAAAATGAAAGTTATTTTTTCCTACTGTTCTCATATTACACTTTAACATGGTATCAGGCTAACCCAATTTCACTAGGCCTTTCTTCCTTCTCGGGCCTGCTCTTGCTTAATTTCTTTCCTCCTTACTAAAGCATATTACATTTCTTCACCGCCGCATCTGTCACGATGCCACCCACAACAACCCCGATGACCGAATCAACGCTTCTCGATTTTAATCACCCACTGTATCTCCATCCCTCGGATACTCCGGGAACGATTTTGATCTTGCATCAGTTGTGTGGACCAGATAACTACACCGTCTGGAGCCGCTCAATGCGAATCGCACTTCTCGCCAAAAATAAATTAGGGTTCATCGATGGAGGTTGTTACCGCGATGATTTCCAGTCCTCTCTTCAAGCACAATGGGACAGATGCAATGCCCTTGTGTTGTCATGGCTCATCAATTCCGTGAGGAAGGATTTGTCTGCTGGAATTGTTTTTACCTCCAGCACAGCGTTCGTTTGGGCCGATCTTAAGGAGCGATTTGACAATATCGATGGTTCTCGGATATTGTTTCTTCATCATGAGATTACCACGATGGTCCAAGGCGAGCTCTCCATTTTTGCGTATTTCTCGCGGTTGAAGCTTCTGTGGGACGAGTATGATACACTGGTACATTACTCAAGTTGACTTGTGAAAATGCTCAGTCCAGTTCACAATATGTTTCTCAACAGAGGTTGTTCCAGTTTCTCATGGGGCTGAATGACTCGTACACTGCCATTCGAAGTCAATTGCTGTTGATGCAGCCTTTACCTTCAGTCAACAACGCCTATTCCATGATAAGTCAGGAGGAATCTCATCGCCTTCAATTGTCCGGTGTCGTCCCTCTCGTGGACTCTACCTCACTGTACTCCAATGCTTCTGGCAACCGTCGACGGTTTACTGGCATCTGTGATCACTGTAAAGTGAAGGGCCATAAAAAGGAGAATTGTTATCGCCTTATTGGCTTTCATCCTGACTTTAAATTCAACAAGAAGAAGGGTTCTCAAGCTGCTATGGTGACTCCCTCTAATCGTGAGATATTCAATCTAGCTCCACCAGTTTTCACAAATACACAGTATCAGCAGCTTCTGGAACTTCTAAATCGATCTTCAGCTCAAAGTTCCAGTCCAGATTCCTCTTTGAATCTGGAAAGTACCTTATGTTCTCTTACTTACAATTCAATTGAATGGATTTTGGATTCTGGAGCAACTGACCATATTTTATCAGACTTAAAATGCATGCTCGATCCTATGCCCTGTACATCCACGCCTAAATTTGTTCAGTTGCCTACTGGAAAATCTTTTGTTGTCACACATATAGGCTCTGTTAGACTCCCAAATGGTCTTCGATTATCAAATGTTCTTCATGTGCCTCACTTTACTCATAATCTCGTTTCTGTTTCAAAACTGGCTCATGAGTTAAACTGTGCTGTTTTGTTCTATCATGACCTTTGCATATTGCAGGATCTTTGCAATGGCATGATGAGGGTGATTGGTAAAGAATATAGAGGTCTATACATGCTCAGGTTTCCATCAAATTCTGTTTTTTCTGTTTATGCCTTAGAACATTCATTTGATGCATGTACACCTTTTATTAGTTCTGAAACTTTTCTCAATACTTGTAAATCAGTTGATGTAAATAAAACAAGCCTTTGGCATGCTCGTTTAGGACATGTTCCAGCTTCTCAACTAAAAAAATTGCCTATGTTTCATAATGAGAATTTGCATCATGAATTTGTTCAAAATTGTTCTATCTGTCATTTAGCTAGACAATCTAGGCTTCCATTTCCAGTTAGCAATTCCTGAACCACTACTCCCTTTACATTGATTCATATTGATCTGTGGGGCCTTATCAAATCTCTACTCATGCTGGTCAACGTTTTTTTCTTAACCATTGTAGATGACTACACTAGGATGTCTTGGGTGTACTTATTGAGGCTTAAGAATGATGTTGTTTCCTGTCTTCGAACCTTTATCTTAATGGTTCAGAATCAGTTTTCTGTCTCAGTTAAAATTATTCGTAGTGATAATGGCCGTGAATTTTTTAACTTTGTGTGTTCTCCCTTGTTTGCATCATTGGGAATTATCCATCAAAGTACTTGTGTACGCACTCCTCAAAAGAATGGGGTTGCAGAACGTAAACATAGGCATCTTTTAGAAGTTGCTCGGGCTCTTCGTTTTTAGTCACGAGTCCCTTTTAAATTCTGGGGAGAATATGTGTTAGTTGTTTGCTATATTATCAATAGGTTGCCTTCTTCAGTCCTATCTTGGAAAACCCCTTTTGAATTACTGTACCATAAACCTCATTCTTATGAACATTTTAAAGTGTTTGGGTGTCTCTATTTTGCAATAAATCTTACACCTCATGATAAGTTTGATGCTCGAGCCTTTGCTTATGTCTTTTTGGGATATTCTCCAACCCAAAAAGGTTATTTACTGTTTAATCTCGACTCTAAAAAACTATTCATTAGTAGGGATGTTAAGTTTCATGAAAATCAGTTTCCTTTTCATCAATCTTCTTCTTTTTATAATTCTGATCCAACATTCTTCCCATCTACTACCCTTATTCATGATGATGATTTCTTGGTTTTAAATACTCTATGTCCTCAACATTCTAGCTCCCTTCATAATAATCTAACTGAGTTGAATACTACTAATGATGAACACACTTCTCAAAATTCAGTTCAGTCTTCTACTTCAATAAGTGCACATGTTCCTTCTAGGAAGTCCTCTAGAGTATCAAAGCCTCCTACTTGGTTAAATAATTTTGTCTGCTCTTGTCAATCCTCTTCTTCAAATTTCAGTTCTCTTTCTTATTGTCACTTACCACTTCATACTCAAGTGTTCTTGTCTTCCATCTCTCAAATTTCTGAGCCTCAATCTTATTCTGAGGCTGTTCAAGATCCACTTTGGGTTCAAGCTATGAAAGAAGAAATACATGCATTGGAGTCTAATAGAACTTGGTCCCTTGTTCCATTACCACCAGTAAAAGTTCCTATTGGATGTAAGTGGTTTATAGAGTTAAGTATAAAGCATCAGGTGAGGTTGAGAGATATAAAGCTCGCTTGGTTGCTAAAGGCTATAATCAACATGAGGGAATTGATTTTTTTGACACATTTTCTCCTGTGGTAAAAATGGTTACTATTCGAACCATTCTTGCACTTGCTTCTATTTTTCATTGGCCATTATTGCAAATGGATGTATTCAATGCTTTTCTACAAGGAGATCTTTATGAGGAAGTCTATATGTAACTACCTGAGGGTTTTTGCAGTCAGGGGGAGATGATTGTATGTAGACTGCAAAAATCATTGTATGGTCTCAAGCAAGCTTCCAGGCAGTGGAATCTGAAATTAACAGAGGCATTGGTCTCAACTGGTTATGTTCAAAGCAAGTGTGACTACTCATTGTTCATCAAGAGATATCAAAGTAAAATGGCCTTGCTATTAGTATATGTTGATGATTTGGTAATCACATGTGATAGTAGTGAATTGATTGTTGAATTGAAGCAAATGTTGAATATCCATTTTAAGATGAAGGATTTAGGGGAGTTAAAATATTTCTTAGGAATTGAGGTATTGAGGTCAAAAGAAGGCATACTTTTGAATCAAATGAAGTATGCACTCCAGTTAATCAAAGATACAGGTTTGAAGGAAGCAAAGCCTGCTATTACTCCTCTGGAGGAGAATCTGAAGTTGACTACTTTAAATTATGATAAGATTGTGCAGTAGGATAATGAAGATGAACATAGTCTAGTTGAAAAGTCAGTTTATCAAATACTTATTGGGAGGCTAATTTACTTGACATATACAAGACCTGTTATTACATATGCAGTGAATCTTCTTAGTCAATTCATGCAGCAACCTAAGAGGTCTCATATGGAGGCAGCTTTAAGAGTAGTTAAATATGTCAAGAAGGAACCAGGACAGGGAATTTTGTTGAAATCTTCTTCGATTTGTCAACTTTCAGCCTATTGTGATTCAGATTGGGGATCATGTCCAATGACAAGAAAATATATGATAGGTTTTTGCATTAAGATTGGTGATTCATTGGTTTCGTGGAAATCAAAGAAACAAAATGTTGTAGCAAGGTTTTCGGCAGAAGCAAAATATAGAGCTATGGCAGTGGTCACTTCTGAGCTGGTGTGGTTGCAAGGTTTGCTTGCAAAACTTAGTATAAAGGGTCTGGAGCCTGTAAAACTTCACTGTGACAACAGAGTTGCACTTCAAATAGAAGCTAATCCAGCGTATCATGAAAGGACAAAGCACATTGAAATTGATTGCCATTTTGTGAGAGAAAAAATACATGAAGGGATGATTCAAACAGAACATGTGTCAACACATGAACAGCTTGCAGATATCATGACCAAGGCTTTGGGAAGTCAGCAGCATAGTTATTTGTTATCCAAATTAGGGGTTGAAAATGTTTTTCAACATCCAACTTGAGGGGGAGTGTTGAGTTTGTAATCAGTTTTTTCTGTTAATAGTTTGTTACAAGTAGTTTTTAGTTAGTTAGACAGTTAGATTGAAAGGTTATATATATGTGTAAACAGATTGTGAATATTGAATGAAAATGAAAGTTATTTTTTCCTACTGTTCTCATATTACACTTTAACAGAAACAAATGCATCTATAAGTAGGAACACTTCACCAAATTCAAAACCATCACAAAAAGCAAATCAAAGCCAGATTAGTTCAGGTTCAATGAAATTTCCAACTTTCAATCAAGATAAGAACTATATATATGTACATAGCAACTATCCATTTGGATTCCAATTGAAACAAACCCAAATTTGAGTGTGAAAACTTACAATGGTAGGAATGGTGAGTTCTGAATTGGATAGAGAAAGTGTCAGGTTGGCACTTGAATTGTGGCAATAAACAAGACATCCACTCATTCCTGCTAGCAAAAAGAGAAAAAAGAAATATCAAATTTTGTGTTTCTTCTTCAACAGTCCTTTATATGGTTCTTTTGGAGAAAATAGGGTCATCGTTTAATTATCTCCAGGCAGTGCCAAATAATGAAAAAATATGAAGACTTACTGGCTCTCCTTTCGTTCTATAAGGTTAAGTGCTTGACATTCTAAACTTTGAAGAACAATAATTCCAGAGCTGGTAGAGCAAAAGAAAGAAGAAGAATAATATTTTTTTAAGATAAAAGGAATAAAAGAAAGAGACTTTGAAGAAACGGTAATGGCTGTAATGTGATAAAGAAGAGGACAAGGGGAAGCAGAGTTACCTGCCTGAGGTTGAGAGAGAGAAACAGACAGAGACCTTTTTCTTTTTTTTATTACTAGGAGTCATAGTTAAAAATTAGGTCAAATTTTTGAATAAGTAATTACAATATTCATACATTATGAATTTAGTCCCTAAACTAAAATATATTAAGTCAGATTCGATTATTAGTCGTCTTCTAAAAAAATACTATTATGCATAAATTGTATATTTAATTCATATTTTCTAATTTAATCATTTTGATCAATTTATCTATAATTTTGATATCTATTGTTTTCATTATAAAGTTTATATTTTGTTTAAAAGATCATTGTCTTCCCTTTAAGTATCATTAAAATGAGAGGTTAGTGATTGTTTGCATGTATATATGTCTGATCATATGTACATGTTATAGATATAATTTGATATTCATTGAAGCGTATATGCATACATGGATTTCTTACAGGTATGGATAAGGAGTGTTAATAAAGCAGTTATACTCTTTGAAAATTTTAAATTTTCATATATTTTCATTGTATTTTTATTGATAATTAATTTTCAACTTTTAAAATTTTATAATTTTACCTTCTAAAATAGTATAAGATTGCCTCTAACATAATTCTTTTTGAGTATGTCTCTATTTGTGTATAAATCTTTCTTGAAAAAAGAAAGCATCCATTTAAGCATACATTCATATGCATATGTATTATGGGCATGGTCATAGAAAATTAAAACGTGGGAAATTTAAGCTTGTTAAGCACACGGTATGTATGGCATGTAACCCCCACAGACCGATAAGGGTAACCAGATCCGATCCGGGGTATCACATTTGGGTCACCGGAGTGACCCACTGTAAAAATTGCGGAAAATTTAAAATTTTATTGAAACGTGTAACTTATAAAATGATTTATCAGTATACAAAAAATAAAACAGATTTTTAGAATCAAATATTAAAACAAAATACAATTACATACCCCCTAATCACATGTACCATACTCTGCAACAGTGCCGGAAGAACTCCCTTACTGAAGTCGATAGATGCACTGGTACAATTCTTTTAACATGAAAAAGTGAGTAATAGAGTGAGCTTTGGAAAGCTCAGTAATACAAAACTACCAGATGATGTGAACAACGTGCATATACAGATAAACATATTTTCCTTATTGGTTCAGATATTTACAGATCTTTATGTTAAGTTGAGGTTCAATGATATCGCATGTAGTAACAAATAATATTCATTTCAGATGGAAATATTTCGAATGTCTAGGTTCATGAGATCATAACAGGTTTTCTAGTGTGTTCCCGTAAAATCATGTACCTTTTTCAGATTTTTTAAAACATATATATATATACCTCCATCCGTCAAGTCCAAAATGTGTAGGTTCCCCAAAACCATACACCCACCGACAAGTCCAGTATGGCCCTGAGCACACAGCCGAGGAGCCGGTAAGTAAGGTCCTAAGCACACAGCCGAGGAACCTCTAGGTATACTTCCTCCAACATTACCCCCCAAAAAAAACATGTTCCGTCCGTAAACGAACATATCAAAAATCAAAACATAATCCAGGTTAAGTATCATATCAAAATCCAGGTCAAGTATTCGATCAGAATCCAAGTCAAGTATCAGATTAGAATCCATGTCAGATATCATATCAGAATCCATGTCAAGTATCAGATCAGAAATCAAATTGAAAAACAGGTAAAATATTCATGTGAGTAGGGAACACACCAGAATTTACAGATAGTATTCAAAGATATTGGATAATCTTAATAAGTAGAGGAACACAGATCTTTAGTATACCGATAGAATATCGAAATTCAGAATAACTATTGAAAGAGTTCAATAACTGACAGAATAATCAGTTATTCAGAATGTGACTTGAGTTGATAAGAAAGAAATGAAGGTTCAGGACATTTACATTCTATGTCGATTGATCGGATTATCGGACAACTCTTAGATGAATAGTTCCCAGAACTAATGCTTGTCGATTGGTCAATTCATTGTCATTACAGGGTATTTACATTTTCATACCACAAATTCTAGTCCATATATAATCCTCGGAATCATCGCTGAATAAATCTTCCAATGTCTTTATTTCATGTTCACGCTTTCACTATATCATGAAATGCTGACGTGCTTGATTTGTAGTTCAAGATCCATAAGAACATTACATCATGTATGTTCATTAACGTTTCCAGACTCATCCAAATCACTACTTAATCCTTAGTCCTTGAGGTTACATATTTCATTTAGCATTCAAGTCCATTTTAGATACTTCGGGGCTTTTCAAGGTAATTCAGACGTTTCTGAATTTCGGATACATATTGTACTTCCGTTTAATTCAATTGGTCTTCGTGGTTGATTTTTCTAACAAATATCAAATTCTTACTGTTGGATGCGATCTAGAGTTGAGCTTAGTTGAATACTTCCAAAATTATCATCGAGCCAAACTTAAGAATACAAACACGCATTCAAGTGACATCTATGTTTTTCAGGTATTGATATAACACTAGCATTGGTTTCTCAGCTTAATATGTGATCTGTAACTTTTAAGAGCAGTACCACATCCATGTTTATTTGGATTCCTTAATTAACCCAAGATATTTCCTTAGTATAGGCCATAAGGGTATTTTGGTCATTTTGGTGTTCAGTTTATTCCAATCATTACAGAGCTCAAGGATATCCAATCATTTTTGAGCTTGGTGATATTCTTGGGTTATTTCCATTACAGGGGTATTTTTGGTCATTTTACAGATTCAGTGCACTTTAATCCTTTCCTTCCGTATGATCTTACTATTAATTCCAATCTTATCATTTATTTTAGTCATTTCGAACAATTCAGACAACAAAACACCCCCGACAAATTGTTCTTCAGGTATTTACTCATAACTCGGATATTTTCGGGTCAAGTGCCTTCTCAGATTTTACAAACGGAATATCGGGAATTTTCCTGCACTAAGTCAGGATCTTACAATTAAATCCGTACTTAATCGAGTTAAGTACGAATCTTCTAAGTATTTTCTCATTCAGAGTCAACTCAGACTATTCTACCTCTTAAGGGCATTTCCGTAATTTCTTAACCAAATAATTTCGATATTAGCTCTTAACGAAACTAATATAATTTAGAGATCCTATGATTAATTGCTTTCTTGAACACTCTCTGATCTTGAAACGGTTCTCTTAACAAACTTCTAATATCCTTCACAAACTCTCCTAGGATTAAAACCGGTTATCCATAATTTCCAAATAAAACTAACATTTCTTATGCATATCAATATTTTTATCAAATCAATATGTCTGTAAAATCCTCTTATCTAACTTCCATATTCAAATCTTATCTTTTTATAACATAAGGGTATTTTCGTAATTTTACCCTACCGGAGTATTCTCATAATTTCTCATCCAAGTACCTTTAATATTTAACCTTTGATGAAATAAATTATAAGATGCAGATACAGGGCTGATTTCTTTATCACTAATCTTAAACTTGTAATTTAATCTAACAATTCCTCAATCTCTTATATTAGTCATTCGATCCGTAATTAGTTACAGAATTTCTACCACATCATATTGAGTGTATAAATTATTCAACTCCACCAAAGTGACCAACATTATCTTGTTCATGCATTTATCAATATAAACATGTTTCATAAAGCATAAAGAGGTAGTAAAGTATTACCTCGATTTCGGTGCAATACTGATCGACCATAAAAGTTCCATTCGAACGCCTTTGATCTTCAATTCAATTTCCAATAATTCCTCAGATACATATCAACATAAATTATATTAGAAACGAAGCTTAATTGCGATAAACGGATCGAATCGGTGATAAATCAGTGAAAAACAACTTATTGGGTTTGAATTTGGCAAAACGGACTTCGGAATCGGATTCAGGACGTCGAAAGCATAAAATATGACTTTCTGAAAATTTGGAATTTTTGGTTAAAATCAATGTCAACGGGTTTGACTACCAATATCGAGGCATTCAGGTCTGAATTTCGAAAAATGGACAGCGAAATCAGATTTGGAACGTCGAAAAATGTCAGGATAGGTATACTCGGTCAAAGTCAAAGGTTGTTTAATGCCCGGTCAAAGCCGGTCAAAGTTTTGGTCAACATCGGTCAACGCCGGTCAATGGTCAACGGGTCGGGTTGGGTCAACAGGTTGGGTCGGGTTATGACTGGTCAAATCGGTCAAAACAGGAGCAAAACCGGTCAAATCGGTCATTTTTTTTCTTCCCCATGTGCAGTGGCACCGCGTGGGGGCGCGTGAACAGTGCCCTGATATCGAAAAATTCCTAAAGATTATTTTAAGCGATTTCGAGATACTTACAAAGCTCGGTTCAAATTTTTGAATGGCGGAGAGCTCGATTTGAACGAATCAGAAACTTTGACTGTTTTACCTCCTCACGCGCCACCGTTGACGGAGACCAAGGATGACATCGACGGACTCAGAACGATGCAAGGAACACGATGGTGCGGGAGGTGTCGTAAACGGATGCTCGGATCGTCGTGAATCGACGAAAAACCGATTGAAATTGAGTTATTACCGACGATACTTCCGACTGAAATTAACGACGAACGGCGATGATTCACGACGAAAGGTTTGAGGGGTTTTGTTCCTCGCTCGACAATGAACACGATGGTGGTTTTGGCTTGTCGATCGGAGGTCGGACGGCGTGTAGATCGGAGTTGAAAGGAGGGTTGTTGGAGAATGGAAAACTGAAAAAATGATAACCTGCGCACGGGGAGGGTGTTTATAATTCAAGTCATAATAAAAATGGGTAAACCATGAGTTTAGTCACTGAACTTCATGCACTTCTTAAAACGGTCTGCCAATTTTGAAATTTTATAATTTAATC